GCATCTTGACAAATTCCATATGTTTCTGGTGTGGCAGAGCCTTAGTGAGGCCATCCACTGGCATCTGAGCCGTAGGCACTCAATTAACTGTAATATCACTGAATTGAACATGTTCTCAGAGCCAGCTTTCATATATATCAACATGACAAAGCTTCATGATTATAGAGAGATCTTCATTCATAAGAATGTCTATAGTTTAACAGTTATCACATTGAATACAGATCTTGTAATCAGATTTAAATTAAATATGTTGAAAGAATCTATCTTATTAGATAGACTTCTTATTAGCTTATGAGATTGTAATAAGCTCAGCTTCTATAATAAATGTAGTTATAATTATCTATCTATTTGATTTTCAATCAACAGTCTCACTGAATAGTTTGAAGATATATTCTTATATAGAGCAGTGATTCAGATTATCTGTGAAAGAGATATCACTAACAGCTTTAATAATATCAGATTTAAGATTAAGTTATAGAGATCTGTCAATGTTATCATTATATTGAATAGTGAGATTCTTTATATTATATAGATAAGATATCATTCTATTTATCTCTGATAAGTGATATTTCAATGAATTTATTATAAATATAGCTAGTTTACTCACTGTATATATAATATCAGAGTAAGTTATCATCACTGAGTAGATACAGAAGCTGATATATTATTAATAATAATGAATTTTTACAGATATGACTGACTTATTAAAAGACTTTAATAGAGTACTAGTTAGTGAGATATATACCTTGCAGATGTGTGTGAGATAATATATATTAACTATCTTATTAATATAGATATTCTGACATAGTCAGAGCTTTAAATTGAGATAATCATATATTATTTATATATTGAGAAATCATTTCAAATCTCTCATCTATCAGATTTTATAAATGTTTTTAAGATCTTTAATTAGTTAATCTCTTTCTTTCAAATCTTCTTATTATGATAGAATGATAATATCATTCATATAGAAGAAGATGATTAATTAATTATTAAAGAAGAGATATTAATTCTCTGATATAGAGATAAAGTCTAGTATTCTCAATATTAAAGATAGTTTATTTAATCAGAGAAGAAATAATCTGTATAATTTATATAATACTTATAGAAGTTTTAGTACATGATTTATACACTTTAAATTTTACATTCTCTTCAACTTTCATTATTTATTAAATAGTTTCATATATACTAGCTTATCAATATTACTATTAATAAAGACATTGATTCTATCTAGCTATTTCACATCTAGATCAAATACTGCTATTAAAGTTAATAAGATTCAGAGATCTCTGATAGCTAGTGTATAAGCTTTTATAATAAGATCTGTGATTAATTGAAGATCTCTGTATATATAGATATGAGCTTTGTATTTCAAAAGAAAATCTTTATTATTGAATTTATAGATGAATATTTATTATAGAGAAATAACTGAGATATCTCTCTATAATCTGCTAGTAATTTTATATATATTCTGTAGAGATATACTATCTTATTCTTACTTAACAGTATTCTTAAATTCTTTATAATATGAATGTTTTTCAATATCTGTTCAGTGATTCAGTGAATCTGACAGTTGAGATCTATAAATTCTTGAAGTCAGTATAAATGCTGTTGATATAGCTGTATTATTAATAACTATGAAAACAGTATTTAAAAATAAATATTAAGACTTATAGAAGTCTGAGTGTGATTGAGAGAATATCTTATTAATTATTCATAATAAATTGTTTTTAACATTTGAAACTATTATAAGATGAGTAGCTCTGCATTTTCAGATTCTGCAGCTATCAATGATATTTGCTTTATCAAAGTCAGTACTGATATTATGAGCTTTAGATACAATATTCTGTGTTTGATTATTTATCACAGCTGAATGAGTATTAATATTAATATCAGAATCTGTTGACTCTGATATTGAATCTAGTGTAGAAAGAATTAAAATGTTAGAAAGAATTGAAATATTATAATATTTATACTTATTATTCTTCTTCTCTATTTTTTCAGAGCTTTGAGTATTTTCTTCAAGATGAAAAACATCAATATCTGCATCTATAATCTCTTTCAATTGATTGATAGAAGTCATTAATGATTCTCAAACTTTCATATATAGAAGCTTCATCTTCTTAGATACTCAATCTCTTAGTTGTCTTTTAATATAGAGATCTTCAGAGTTGAATTTCTTATTCTTATCAAATATCATATCTCTTGCTCTTATTATCTGTTCTAAGTGTGGAATTCAAATTCAATAGATGTTTGTAGAATCATATTCAACTAGATATTCAATATATACTCAGAGATCTAGCTTCTGAGAGCAGTTTCTATTGAGAACTTCATTCAGTATCTTTATATAGATGTGATATTCATAGATTTAAAGATAAGTACAGAAGTAAGGTTTGATTTGTTGAAATTCTTTTAATACTTATAAAGATGACTTTCAATCTAGAATTCTAGTAGAGATTTGATTTACTAGATAGATGACAGTAAGTACAATCTCAGAGAAAAGTGATTATAGCAGAAGAAATTCTATTCATAGAGTTCTTATCTTTATTATTAATATTGCTTCTGCTCACTCTGCTGTATCATTTTACTTATAAATATACTCTGAAGAATACTTCATCTCTGATTCTTCATTATTCACTTAATTTATAAAGTCTTCTACTTTCTTGACTGCAGTATTATTATCAATACAAATGATCTTTATAGTACAGTTGAATTAATATTTAATTCAATTAATAACTTATCTAAGAGCTTTTCAGATTTCTGATTTTCAGATAGCTGTTATAGCTATATAAAAACATAGATAATCACACATGAAATGTATGAGATAACACTTATTATTATAGCACTGTGTAGAGCCATATATGATATCTGCATGTAGATATTTAAATGATATTTAAAATCTAACATAAGAATATCTAGATATTTGATTTTTTACATTAGATAGATAACAGAGTTTACAAAGCTCAGTGATAAGCTTATCTGCAGCATCTTCTAGATTGATGATTTAAACATCAGTTGTATCATTTGTAAGCTTTTAAATAGTGATTTTCAATAAATGTTCTAATCTCTTATACTATGTAGACTAGACTGGCCGCCGGGACCATGAATTTCACGTTTGGTCTCATTTGGTCTGGTCCCATACATTTCTTGGCGTGAATCCCACTGAGACTGGCTATCAAAAAAACATGTAAAGTGACTATATATCAGATCTTAAAATGAAACCATGACTTGAAAAAAATGAGAAAGTGGTCTCATTTGATCCCATTCAGTCCCATTCTTAGCATAAAGTTACTATTTTTAGATATTTTAAGGTTTTTTTTAGACTATTTTTAATTTTTTAAAAAGTAACGCTTTTTGGTAATGCTCAAATGAGATTTAAAGTCATTTAAAGCAATAAAAATAATTTAAATTGAGAAGTGGAAATCATGGTCCCATTTGGAAAATGTGACAAGAGTAGACAGTAAGTCTCACTGGGACAGTATGAGACTACTATCTAATGTTAAAACTGTGTAATGGAATCAGTCGAATTGGTAATGAGACTATCAAAAAATCTGGTCCTGGTTTCAGACACGGTCACACGGTCAGTCTAATGTAGACTGAGTAGCTATAGAGATCTTAGATTTTTAAGAAGATTTTATGCATATTAACAGGTTAAAAGAATGATTTATTAAAGTATATTTTAACAGATTAGAAGAAGAATTTGTAGAAGTTAAAGAATTTAAAGATATTGTTTTTTCAGATATAGTGATATTAGATATGTGTGATGTGATAACTGCATCAGCTTCAGTAGTGAATTTTTCTGAGATAGTTGAGAAAACAGCTATTTCACTATATTCTGTAACTAGCAACCTCTCAAATACTTTAACATGTGTAAAGATTGTATTATCTGTGTGTTTTCTCAATCTGAAGTCTTTTTCATCATAATAGATGCCTTCTATATGAAAACATGGTTTCCATGCAATGATATTTGTATGAAAATTCAGTATATAAGTCATATTGATGAGATTGATATTGAACTGCTTTTCTGCTTCATTTATCATAATAGTTCTAACAGTTTCATAATCTTCAACTTTAGTGCTGAAATCATCTGTATAGACTTTCACATTCTCATTCACAGATGTAAAGAATAGAAAATATGTTCAATTATTACATATATACTGTTCTGCATCAGTATCAAAGATTCAGGAGTTTCAGAGATAGAAGTGTGAATTTAAAGAGTTTATTAATATTTTTCAGATCTGCTGATTAATAGATTGATAATCAAAGAATTAATAATCAATAGATTGAGAAACAGATTACTTCAGAATCATTTCTTCTAGAACTGCTTCATTGACATCTATTATATCTGTATTTGTAAATGAATCTCTAGATATTGCATGATTAATGTATCTCTTCAATTCTTGATTTTTAAGAGCTTGATTAATCTGAGTTCTCTTCTTCTCATTTTCCTTTTATTCAGATGACTTTCTTGATAAATTGAGATAGTAGCACTGAGTGTAATGATGATAGACTCTGTAGATGTAGTTTCTGAATGTTACTGATAATAATTACTGAGATCTTTCATTAAGAGTAGTAAAGTTCATAGATTTATCTTCTTTAAGAATACTTATTTCTCTATACTGTTTCTTGAAGTTCTTAACTAACTTTATCAAAGATATGATATCTTTATCATATCAGATATTCTTAGTTCATGCTTGTATATAATCTGTATCAATAGCTAGATTCATATTTAAGAAATCTTTCTTCAAGTTAAACTATTCAGCTATATTTATCTCTTTGATATTATCTTCAATGAGAGATCAGTTATTTAATCACTTCTCTATATCTCTGTTTTTCAGTGCTTTGCAGAGATCATGATATCAGATTCTTACATTATCTTGATAATTTACAGTCATGAGTGAGAGTCAATCTCTTAATGAATAGATAATCTTCTTCATATTATCATTCTCACTGTGTATATATTATAGCTCTGTGACATTCACTGTTCTTTATATAACATCTTATATCTTTGTCATATCTTTATTCAATTTCTTATATTTCATATATTTGATTTTCCATGCAGTGATCTTGATATTATATGCTATCTTAGCCTCTGCAGTGACTTCTTCTGAATACTCAGGTTTCAGAGGTTCTTCTAGTTCAGAGAAGATATCAGGTTTGTCAAGATTGATAAAGTCTGATATCTTCTTATTCTTTGCATATTCTAGCATATGCTTGTATCAAAGTTTCCAATCTCCAGAAATGCTAAGGTGTACAGTTGCACTAGATATTGTCTTGTCTGTCATATCAGTTATATTGAATGAATTGAGAAATCAGTTCAAGTATTTGAGAATAGATATGATTAGAATTCAGAGTGTATAACAGTCAAGTATATCTGTAAGAGGCCTACGCCGAATAGATCGGTATAATATTGATAGATCTTATATAACAAAGAGAAAAATGTTAGAGAAGAAAAGTGTCACACTCCCGGCCGCGCCAAGGCCCTGTTGCGGTTTCACACGGCTCATCGCTTCCATGCGGATGATTCCATCCATCCCGCAGCTGTCTGAACTGGTTTCCAACTGCCCTATGACATTATTCAGATATATCATAGAAAGATCTGATTGATGAATATAAGAACCCCACTTCTATATGAGGTCAGCAGATTACTTTTCCTTGACAGTAAGGCACTGCTGAGGTATCACTTCAGCTATTCTCACTTGTGAAATGAGAGAAGGTATCTGCTCATTGTCTATATAGAATAGCTAGATACTGGCTTCTTATAAAAGAGATCAGTGATTCATTTTTTCTTTAACTGAAATATATATGAGAGTTACTGTGTGTCTTATACAATATTCTTAGTATACTAAGTATCATATCTGTGATATCTCTGCAATAACTCTGTAGCCTACAAGCTCACTATTCAAGCAAGATAGTTAAGCTCACTTATATAACTTCTCAAATAACTACTTCTATATAATACTGCTGACTAGTCACTACTTCAGTTCTGTTATATTACAATTTGAATTACTTCATCTGATTATATATTTAAATCAGTCAAGCTCTAACAGACTGATATAACCTTATACACTTATACTGAGATCAATCTGATCTCACTCTCTGAGAGAAACACTACATCATTCTCTAGAGTGTGTATATCTCTACTCTGACAGAAATCTGAGATTTCTGAACCTGCTGTATATTTTAACATGAGCTCTTCAATCACTCTGTCACTGCTGCAGTCTCTACACATCTACATCTATTATAAAGATAGAGAGATTAAGATCAGAGATTCACTGAGATATAAGAAAAATATCTTATCTGAATTTCACAGCTTTATCTGTACTCTTGAACAGAAATTCTGCCTTAATCTGAGCCAGTATAATACTCATGAGATATAAGTAATATACACTGTTAATCTTCTTGAAGGCATCTCTGCAACTACTTAAGTCATTAAGAAGAGAAAGCTTGAGTGTACTAATACTATTATAACTTGAGAAGAATTCAAGAACTTTCTACTGAATCAAATCAAAGATTATCATAACTGCAGCTTCACAGTGATGCAGTAGTTCAACTCATTAAATTAATAAGATAATAAGAATTCTTCTAATTTCAATACAAGATTTGAAGAATATTGAGAGAAATTGACTGATGATTTAAATCAATTAAAAACACAGCTTTATCTTATAAAGCTGACTTATAAGATGTGAATAATAATATTATAATATTAGAGTTCATTAATCAATTGCACTGAGCTTGTTAACCTGACTTTCTGAATCTATTTGAATAATTAATTCTCTGAGAAAAAGATTAATAAGACCTCTTCTAAGCAATCAATGATAGAATTTAAACAGTGCTGTAATAACTTTAGTGTAAAGAAAGTAAAGAAGAATTTTAAGTATTCTGATTCTTTACTCACTGTGAAGAAATATTAAAAAAGATTTGATAAAGATCTCTGTTTCAACTATGAAGCTGATAAACACTATATCAGTAATTATAAGAAGCTGAAGAAGAGAAGAAACTGAGAAGATATCTTCTCAAAGTTAACTTCTCTTCTGATAAACATATCTATAGAAGATAATAAAGAGAAAGAAATGAAGAATTAATAATTCTCATATCTTTAAGTTCATGTTATGATCACAATATATACTCTGAATAAGAAGATATCAGTGAGATGTCTACTTGACTTTAAAGTAGATATTAACTTCATATTCTATTTCTTTTCTTTGATGAAGAATTGAAAGAAGATAGATCTGTCAGACTATATGAAATTTACTAATGAAATAAAATGTCACTATTTTAACATAATTCAAGTGAAGTATGTGACTACAGACTCAGAAGAAATCTTTAAGAAAAGCAGTCTGCTTCTTTATATAGTTAACATCATAGATGAGAATATCATTCTAAGTCTCTTATAATTAAGAGAAAACAATTCTCTCATTGACTGAGTCACTCAGATATGACAGTACTGTCTTACTAATAAAGAGACAGTAATAGAGAAATCTGAAGAGTTTCATCAGAAGAATCTTAAGAAAAAGATTGAGTCAATATACTATATAGCAGATGATTGAAACTTGAGAACAGATGAAGAAGTTATCACTCTCACTACAAGATTAGCAGCAGTATTCATTATTAAAGACAGATATACATGACATCTCTTTACAGATTTTAAGAATGTCTTTTCAGAAAGAGAAGCAGTGAAGTTTTCTGATATCAAGATATAATATAAGATTTGTCTTAAAGATGATGTAACAGTGCTGTACAGATCTCTTTACAACCTGTCTGTAAAGAAATTAAATGTTCTGTATAAATATCTTGAAGAAGTGCAATCAAAGAACTGAATATATTTATTAAAGAGTCTGACAGAAGCATCTATACTCTTTATACTTAAGAAGAATAATAGACTACATCTATGTGTAGACTACAGAGGTCTTAATAAGATAACAGTTAAGAATTACTATTCATTATCATTAATTAATAAGATGATTGATCAGTTATCTGAAGCAAAGATGTTCTCAAAGATTGATATATAAGATGTCTATCATAGAATCAGAGTTAATAAAGATGATATTTAAAAAATAACTTTTCATATCAAGTACAGTAATTTTGAATATCTTGTTTTATCTTTTAGTCTTTATAATACTTCAGTCATCTTCTAGACCTATATAAATGAGATGCTGTGAGGCCTTATTGACATCTTCTACATAGTATATCTGAATAACATTCTAATCTTCTCAAAATCAGAGAAAGAATATGATACTTATGTTCAAGAAGTGTTGAGTCACTTGAGACAGTATTAACTCTATATAAACACTGAAAAATGCTCATTCTACATGCAGAAGATTGATTTCTTAGATTATATTATTGAGATGAATGATATTTCAATGAACAGAAGCTAGGTCTCTGTCATTGAGAACTGACTGATACTGCAGACATACTGCAAGATACAGATATTTCTAAAATTTGTAAATTTCTACAGATAATTTATCTATATATATTCACAGATTACTGTCTCTCTTACAGATCTGTTAAAGAGAAGTGTGAAAGACAGAAAAACAGAACTGTTTATTCTTATTCAAGATACTGTGCAGGTGTTTGTGAAATTGAAACAAGCTTTCATAGATATCACAATACTGAATCACTTTAATCTCAACTTACTCAGTCAGTGTGAGACTGATACATTTAAGAATGAGATCTGTGAAATCTTTTCACAGTTAATACTGAAGATCTTTCAATATTGAAAGAATCAGAGAATAATTATCTCTGAAGAAATAGATAATGAATTGTCTATAAAAGAAGACTTTTTCATAGAGTCTATAAAACACTATGAATAAAGATCAGTGATCTTCTTCTTCAAGAAGTTATCACTCATACAGAGAAGATATGATACTTATAATTAGAAGATATTAGTAATTATTAAATTCTTTAAGATCTGATAATATTATCTTCAGAGTAGTAAGTACTCAGTGCAAGTTCTTACTGATTATATAAATCTATATTACTTCTTGATAATAAAGAGCTTGATAGAATGTCAAGCCAGGTGAGCAGAGCTGCTTTCAGAGTATGATTTCTATATTCAATATTATTCAGATCAGCTTAACTCTGTCAATACACTGTCTAGACAGTCTGATTATAATATTATTAATATGAAGAAGAATTCTATAAAAGAATCTCTGTCATCACTGTAGAAGAAGCTGGCTGCAGAGAGTTGAAGTTCTCTGAAGCTTAGAAATGATGCTGAAGAGACAGCTGTGTGACTCAGTATAGAAGATGAAAGAAAACCTGAGTCTCTGTAGAGAACTGACACTGAAGATTATAAGCTTCTTATATTATATCTTATAATCATTGAGTGAGTAAAGAATAAAACAGTCTACAATCTTTCAATCTGACTACTTTTAAAATTCATTGATAAGTTATAGAAGAGAGACATCTCTACTGCAGCTTAAATTCAGAAGTTGAAGAAGAAAGAGTTCAGTTTAAACTTGAAAGAGACAGACTCTGAGCAGGACAGTGCTGCTAAGAAATCAAGTCACTGATAACTAAAAGAATGTGAACTTCTACTGCTAAATAATTCAGTCTTTATCTCTTATAGCAGAGTGATGTGTCAGAAGTTATTAAGAATTCATTATAATAATTCTCATACAGAGCACTTTAGATTAGAGAAGACTGAGAAGCTTCTAAAATATAAATATATTTAAGACAAGCTTCAGACAGATATCAAAGAGTATATTAAAACTTACAATATCTATTAAAGAATAAAGATTCTATAGTATAAGTAATACAGTGAGTTAGTATTACTGTCTATTTCAAAAAACTTATAATGAAATCTATTGATGAATTTCATAGTTGATCTGCTGAAGTTGATAAGAGTTAAAGAATATGACTCAATTTTGATCATTATTAACTGCTTTATAAAGATGATCAGATATATTTCTACTTATAAAAAGATTAAAACCTCTGAATTGACTGACCTGTTTTTAGATATCATCATTTATAATCACAGTGCTCTGAAATCATTAATAACAGATCAAGAATCTCTCTTCATCAGTAAATACTGATCAGCTTTTTACTATCATCTTATAATAAGATGTCTTCTCAGTACTGTATTTCATCTGCAGACTGATGATCAGACTGAATATCAGAATCAGACACTAAAACAGCATCTTTAAGTGTTTTATTTATATTATCAGAATGATTGACTCAAACATCTTCTGATTACTGAATTCATATATAATAATATAAAGAATGCAATCTTAAAGATATCTCTCTTCTATACTTATTATAAATATAATTCTTCATTACTCAGTGATATTATAGATAATATTCTGAAGAGAGAAATAGACAGTCAGAATATTAGACAGATACAGAGAATGAAGTATCTTTCAGTATCAGAAGTAAAAGCAAGATTGAAACTTTTGAATAAAATTCATGAGAAGGCAGTAAAAAGTATTCATCATACTCAGAAGTAGTAGATAAAATACTATAATTAAAAACATCTTCTGATGAAGTTCTTGATAGAGAATCAAGTACTACTTTCAGCAAAGAATATCAAGAT